GATAAATTTTTTGTTAAATCCAGACTTCTTAGTGATCTCAGCTCACATACATCACTAGAAGAACTAGGATCTTGGCAATTGGGATTTATAGGCTGTAGCATATAAGGGAGGGTCTTACTAGTTTATTTTGACAATGTTCTACAGACAACATTTATGAAGGACATTAACTGTCATGGAGAGTTGGGGAGGGTTCATGTTTCCCATCTGGGAAGATAAAAATTTAGCACCAGGGGAATCTGGAGAGAAGGATAAATCTTTTTTTTTTTTTTTCCCCCACGCAAAGGGCAATGAGGGGTGCTAGTAGATGCTACAAGTTTTACATTAACTATTAACATCTTCATGGATACTCTAGAGGGCTTAAATTTACTTAAACCCCACAAAAGTTGTATAATGACTATAAGTGAGGGTAGAAAAAGACTATTCAGGAATCTCAAAATTTTAAGTAGAGTGGATAAATAATAAGTACCATATTTTAGCAAATGTAATAATTATGTCTGCAAACTAGTCTGCAGTTAGGAGCTCTCATTTCTATTCTCAGCTATAAATCTGACTCATAGTATGGCCTGAGGCAAGTCACTTAACAGCTTTGGACCTCAGCTTCTCCATGTGAAAAATAGCAATTAAAATACTAGATAGAGGAACTAGCATTTATTGAGCAACTGCTGTATGTTGATCTGCTAAATGCTTTATATTATGTTGCATTATTTCTTTCATTCACTCCGCAAATATTTTTGAACACCCACTATGGGATATTATGCCTGGCCTCAGGGATCTATCAAGCACAAAACAAAAATCTCTTGGAGATTAAATTCCAATGGGGCTGGGTGATAATAAACAAGAGAAGAAATAACAAGATAATCTCCAACAGTGATATGTGCTATATAGATAATAAAATTAAATCACATAATAAAAAGGAACCTGGAGAAAGAGTTTCTTATGCAGGGCGGGCTCTCTCAGAGGTGACATTGGAGTTGGAACCTGAATGATGAAGAGCAGTCTGCAGAGTCCAGAGCCCATGGGACAAGATCTCGGAAAGAGAGCTCCAAGTAAACAATAAGTTCAAAGGCCCTGATACAAGTAGGAGTTTAAACTGTTTGGAAGGCAAAGAGAGTGAATGAGTGGATTTACTGAGAGGAAGTGATCATTGGGTAAAATGAGATTAGAGGCAGGCAGGAGCAAGGCCACAGCAGCCTTTTGGGCTGTGGTGAGGGATCTGGGCTTTATTCTGATTGATCTGATTTACGTTCTGTAAAACAATCACTCAAGGTATATTAAGGAGCATGATTACAGTGGAGCGAGAATAGCAGCACAGACAACAGTAGGGAGGCTATTGCCTAGGTGAAAGCAGCAAACTTTTTCTGTAAAGGGTCAGAGAGTAAATACTTTAGGTTTGGTGAGCCACATAAACTCTCTGTGGCACTTTCTTCTTTTTTCTCTCTGTCCTGCTGCTTCTCCTTTTTTTATAACCCCATAAAATTGTGAAAATCATTTTTAGCTCTTGGATGATACAAAAACAGGAGATTGCATGCTAGATTTGGCCTGCCTAGCTGGGCAGTAGTTTGCCAACCCGATCCCTAGCTTAGAGAGAAGTAGAAACTGATCGCCATAAATTTAGGACCAGAACTGGTAGGACTTGCTGATGAACTGGCTCTGTATGGGGAGAGGGTAAAAGAAAGAGGAAACAAGGATGGCCTCAGTGAAGAAGTAGAAGGTGGTGTAATTTACTAAGATGGGGAAGCAAGAGATTTAGGAGTCAGGGGAGAGGGGAAATTAAGAGTTAAGTATGAGTTGACTATTAGTCATCCAAGTGGGGATGTCAAGTAGGGACTCTGCTACAGATTCTGTAATTTAAGGGAGAGGTCAAGGCTGGAGATCCACATTTGGAAGTTATTGGCCTATGAATGCATTTAAAATCATGGAACTGGATGAGATCACCCAGAGTGCAACAAAGAGGTTCCAGGACCAGGTCCTGGGGGGCTCTGGAACTTAGAGGAGCCATAGAGCTTTAGAATCACTCTCTAGGTCAAAAAGTATGACATGTGACAAATATTGCCCAATTGCTTTCCAAAGGGGTCTTTTGTATCTTAACAGAACCCATCTTGTTTTAGCTGTTTAACTACACACTGTGGGTGGGACTATACACATGAACGGGCAAGGATGCGAGTTAGGAATCCTTGACTGCTTTTATATTGGAGCTGGTGAGCCTCAAGCCACATTGGAAGATTAGGCTGGTTAAACTGGTGAGAGGAGGTGTTGAGAAGGCCAAAGTGCTTCCAAGGACTTGCAACCACAGATCACTCAGCAAGCTTATTACGAATGCAGATTTTTAATAAGAGCTTTGGATTCACTGTCTGGGGTGAGGCTTGTTTTAAACATGCTCCTTCACATACAAACAAAAGGTTGAGAAACCTGTGGCTTAGGGATAGACTGGGCAGAGGGTGTGTTATCATGGCATCTCTTCACCTCTGGAGGCTCAAGGGGGCTTCAGGAATCTTAGGTAGGTCTGGCTGGGGAAGTTTCGCAATGAGGGGATGGCAGAGGACTGTTAGGCCAAGAAGAAACCTTTCCTCTAGTTGTGGGACACTTTCCATATGTTCTCCAATTCAGAATGAGGCCTTCTCCCCACACAGATATAAAATAGTACCTTTCTTAATGCAGATGCAATTTAAAAATTTGGGTTCCCTAGGAGTATCTACTCTGCCCTCTAGTTCCACAGCATAGAGGGGAGAATGTTTCTTTTTCTGTCTTTATATGGAAGCAAGAACACATTTTCAATTCAAATACAAGACACATATGTTGTTGGTGAAACTGAAATCATTCCTACACTTTGGATACATTATGGATTAAATAAATTTGTGTGAAAACAGCTAAGGGATAATGTAAGAAATTTGCTAATAGGCCTTCTGCTAGGAGCTAAGGAATAAATCTTGCATTTATTGAACCATTATTTATTTGCCTTCTAAGTGCCAGGCTATTTTAGATCCAGAGATAAAGCAGTGAAAAAAAATAGACAAAAATCCTCACAAAACATATCTTTGGGAGACATAAACATGATAAATAAGTAAAAATGTATGTTGTATTAGTGGTGAGTGCTAAGTAGAAAAGTATAAAGGAGAGACATTAAAGAGTTAGGGGCTGGGATAAGTGAGAATATAGGACAAGAGAGCTGTGACTTAGGAAAGTAACTTAATTTCTCTAAGTCCCTGTTTCTTCATCTGTAAAGTAATAAATAATAGTGGCTTCCTGAAGAAGGCTCAGGCCCTCAGACTGACCTTGTCACTTTTAAACTGTTGGACTTTGGGCCTCTCAGAAGTTCTTGGCCTCTCAGAACCTGTTTCTTTATCTGTGAAATGAACAGACTTGCCCAGCCTATGTTACATGGTTTTGGGAAATGTCAAATGAAATAATTAATATATGTGAAAAGATTTAAAAATGTAGAAGCTATTATATAAATGTGAGATAGAAATTTAAAGAAAAAACAGCTATTTCATGCATCACAAACCTCTTGCTGAAGGTCAGTCAGCAGAGC